CTCCTGGGGACTGGGGAACGCCAAAATGAGGAGAAAACGGGCCATTTTTTGCTCGTTTTTCCCCCCCCCCCAGCCCCCAGGAGCACTCTACAAGTCTCCTAAAGGCTATGCATGCCCCCCTTTTTTTTTGACAAAAGAACGGGCTGTTTTTGGGAGGTCAGCAGAGTGCAAAAACTTTTTTTTTTTTTTTTCCTCTTCAAAATACAGGTGTGCCTTATACTCCGAAAAATACTCTCTCAGTACCAGCTAGTCTCCTTTTTTCTTGCCTCCCCCCTACAGTCGATGGTTGGCCTGAGCCACAGAGGACATCGCTGGGAACGGCTAGAGAGAATTACTTCCTGGCTCCCAATGGGACTCAACATGGAGCAGAGCAGCAGGACAGAAACAAAAGCGAGGCAGGGACAGAGGAGGTGGAGGGCTCACAAGGGTTTTTCCAAGCGGCTCCTGAATCCCCCTTCCTCAACACCAAGGGGAAGTACGACGCGGGGGGCCTCAGCCAAAGCTCCCACCTCGACGCGTGCGAGAACCCTGACCCGGAGGAGAAACGTTACAAGTGTTGGCATTGCAGCCAGACCTTCGGCAGCAGCTCGGATCTCTTGACTCACGAGAGGACCCACGTGGACGAGAAACTCTACATCTGCTCCCACTGCGGAGAGAAGAAGAGAATCCGCCCAGGGCAGTACTCCCGCATCTGCTCCCACTGCGGGAATAATTTCGGCTGGATCCCCAAGGAGAAGCTGGGCGCTGACCTAGACAAATGCTTCATGTGTTCGGAGTGCGGGAAATGCTACATTCGGCAGACGGACTGCCTCAAGCACCAGAAAACCCACAGCGGAGAGAAGCTGTTCATTTGCACAGCCTGCGGGAAAAAATTCATCTCGTACACCTCCCTCAAAATGCACCAGATGGTCCATCGTGGGCAAGACACTCACCAGTGTTTGCGATGTGGGAAATCCTTCATGTCCCGGTCGCACCTGTTGCTGCACGAACTGGTCCACAAGAACAGCTCGCACTGCGGGAAAAGCTTCAGCCGCAAAGCAGAACTGGGGGAACATGAGAAAACTCACACAGCCACCGAGTAGCCGTTCCACCTTCCTTGAACTAATAGGAAGAACATTTTCTTGAACCTCAGGCGACAAAGCCCACTTTGAAGGGACGGAGAGACACTTGAACTTTTAAAAGCCTTAGATGTGGTCACTTACGAGCTCCCAAATTTTATTACCCAGGTATTTTTCTTTTTAAATATGGCAAAATTAAGAAAACAAGTCAAAACTTTTACTTAGAAAGTCATGGTAAAAGGACTGTGGGGGATTCCAAGTCGGAGTGTTTCTAAAAGTAGGAACACAGCAGTTCTCTGTAATTGCGTAAAGCTGTTTTTGTCTTCCTAGGATCCGGTGCCAGCTGAGAGGCAACTGTCTTGTTGCAGGAAAAGGCATGGCTGTTTTGTAGACAGATGCCACGTTGGCACTCCAAATTTGTTTTTCAAGCGATCAAATCCGAAATTAAACCGCATGGTCCAGCTATTACCTAAACTTGATTGTAATTAAATTTAAAGACAAATAAGTCAAACAGAGCATTTTCATGCTCCCGGTGCTACTTTTTAGAGATCACACAAGCAGCACTCCAAGCTTTTTCTCCTTAGGAGAAAAAAAAAATGCATAGATGAATTTTTGTTACAGAATCATAGGGACCTTGGAGGTCTTTTAGCTCAACCCCCTGCCCGTTGATGATTTCATATAAAAAGAAACAACGCCTTTTTGATGTAGCTGTAAACTCTTAAGTTGGTTTGTGAACCACATTTAAAATGCAAAACTACTTAATTTTTTTTTTTTTAAAGTAGGATTTACATGTTCGAAATGTTTGCAGAAAGGGACACATATTAGTAAAAGAAAGCTCTTTGGCCTGTGATGGCACAGCATATGGTAGTAACATCTTCATTTATTTGCCCAGAAATGTTTTGTGGAAAAATGAGATGACAGACAGGGGCTGATGCCACAGGTCTCATGGAACTAGATGCTGCACCTCGACATTGTATTTTTAAAAAGGAAAAAAAAAAGTCCAGCAATGCAGCAGGATGGGGGCATTGTGGGCAGGCTGAACTGGGAGAAGCCTTCCCCAGCCCAGATCCAGATGTTTTGAAACCACAATACCCAGAATTCCTAGCAAGGATGTTCCTTGGCCAATTGTTAGACAATTCTGGGAGTTTCCAAGGCAGTGAGAAGTTTTTCTTTCTTTCTTTCTTTCTTTCTTTCTTTCTTTCTTTCTTTCTTTCTTTCTTTCTTTCTTTCTTTC